TCTCTGCGAGATAGTGCAGGTGGCAAAACCTGAATGCCGGGGGCAGCTCTGTCTCTGCCGCCTCCTCCAGCTCTCCTCTCCAGAGTGCGCTGCCAACCCCCTGGTGCTATCGAAACATTCTTGGGGGTCTTTTAGCAGAAAACAGAGAAGTGAAATGGGCCAAATCCTTCTAATCAAAGACACCCCTCAACTCCATTCAGACCCACGGGGCCGCTCTGTCTGTCTCCCCCACACTGTGCAGCAAAAACCCCACCCAGGACACCCCCAGGACATCCAAAGCACCCCCAGAACACACCCAGGACATCCCCAGGACACCCTCAGGCCACCCAGGACACCCCCAGGATACCCTCAGGGCACCCCCAGAACACCCAGGGCACCCCCAGAATACTCAGAACTCCCTCTGGACATCCCCAGGACACCCTCAGGACACCCAGGGCACCCCCAGGCACCCCCGGCGCCATTTTGGAGCTCACAGCTCCGCTTTGTTGCGCGCCAGCACCAGTGTCAGTCCGGTGAAGCCCCAGAGCCCCTTCTGCTGATGCTGGGGGTGCAGTGATCCTCGCCAAGGCTCCCAGCACCCAGCATGGGTTTTTCTGCAGCACCCTGCGTGTCGGGGTCCCATCCGGGTGCGAGGGATCTCCCGCTGAGCATCCCTGCGTTAAAAATAGCACGTGGAGTTAAATGCGTGAAGATGGGGGAGGAAGTGAGACGATGAAGGCAAAGAGAAGATGGGATTTGGGTGGCAAAGAGGTAAAACCCTGCGTCTGAACCCTCATCGTTGTTCGGAGCTGGGATTTGGGAGCCAGCCAGACCCTGGCTCCATCTGCAGTCAGCCGAGGGAAGTAGACTCCAGCTGCAAAGTCTGACCGGGGGGATTTGCTGGTTGCTGAAGGCTCCGAGGACCCTCCCGCTGTGCCGGAGCTGCGGGAGCCTCCGCAGAGCAGCCCCGGGTGACAAGGTCCCCCTGGGTGACGGCGTCCCCTGGGTATGAGGGAATTCGCTCCAGCTCAGAACCTGGCCGCCAGCTGGGGCACACCAACGCCACGTGAGGATTTGTGTTGCCCAAAACCTCCGGAGGGTGGCTCTGGGGGGAGGGGGGTGCAGGGCAGAAAGCGGGGACAGAGCCTGTATGTAGGGTGCTCTTGGGCACCCAGCATGCACAGTGGGGTGGGGGGAGCAGCCACAGGAGACCCAGACCCCCTGTCTGGAGCCTGCAGCACAGGGACACCCCCCTGCCAAACCAAGCGTGTCTGGTGGCCCCCATGGAGGTTCTGGGTCTGTTCTAAAGCCCCCTCCAGACCCCCACCTTGACCCCCCTGCCCAGCCACCAGCTCCTTGCCACACTGCTTGGCTCATCCCTCCTCCAGAAGCTTGTCCCCGCTGTAGCCACCAACACCCCTCATCCTCCTGTCTTTCAGATGACGTCCAGATGTCCAGCAAGATAACCATCTCCAAGCAGTTCAAAGAAAAGGTTATTCGCCCCATCTTAAAGGTAGGGATGATTTTTTTTTTCATGGCTTATGTTCCCCAAGCTTTGGTCACTCGATGCCATACCCCCCCGTTTTCCTCCCCCAGCTCTGAGACAAGTGACATGGTGTCATTTATTTTTTAACTTCCCAGCCACAAAGATGTCAGGTCAGAGCCCAACAGAAATAAATATCAACTGCTTCTTCACTCCCTGTGCTCTTGTATTAGAGCGATGGTGTGAGACAGTAAGGGGAACAGGGGGTGGGAAGTGCTGCCATGGGATATGGGGGGTTCTCTGCTCTCCCGGGGGTCTGCTCAGCTCCTGGGGACCAAGAAAACCCGATGGCAGTGACAACACGGAGTTTCTTTAAGGTGGTTCTGAAGAGGGATTGAGTGACTCGAGCGTGGGCAGAGAAGGGCAACAGAGCTGGGGCAGGGTCTGGAGCACAGGTCTGCTGGGGAGCGGCTGGGGGAACTGGGGGGTTCAGTCTGGAGAAGAGGAGGCTGAGGGGAGACCTCCTGGCCCTCGGCAACTCCCTGCCAGGAGGGGGCAGAGAGGGGGGATGAGTCTCTGGAGCCAAGGCCCCAGCGCCAGGCCCCGAGGGAATGGCCTCAAGCTGCCCAGGGCAGGGTCAGGCTGGCTCTGAGGAAGGATTTCTGTGCAGAAGGGGCTGTTGGGCGTTGGAATGGGCTGCCCAGGGCAGGGGGGAGTCCCCGGGATCCCTGGAGGGGTTGAAGAGTCGGGCTGAGCCAGCGCTGAGGGATCTGGGGGAGTTGGGAAGGGTCAGGGGGAGGGTCATGGTTGGGCTGGAGGGGCTGCAAGGGATTTTCCAACCCACATGACTCTGGGATTCTGTGAAATCAGCTCCCAAGCCCCGGTAGCAGGTCAGGGTGTTGACAGACGAGCAGGTAGCCTGGGGACTTTGTAGACCACCAGTATCCTAATTGATTGTTAATTGCTGTTTTTTACTTTGGGTTGGTCAATTTATGGCTCTTCAAGGTGACATGAGGTTTGTCTCACACCTTTCCTCCACCAAATGTAGAATCACAGAATGGTTTGGGTTGAAAGGGACCTTAAAGATCATCTAATTCCTGCCCCACTGCCATGGACCAAACTCTGGAACTACTTAGGAGGAGTCTGGGGCTGCTCCCCAGGACTTGAGCTGGCTCCAGAGGAAGCTGAACACTCTTGGATATGCCTGGGAGGAGGCCTGGAGAGCAACCAGGCATGGTCTAACTAACAACCTAGGAGGAGTCTACAGAGGACTTGAGCTGGCTCCTGAAGAAGCCAGATCACTCTTGGAGATGCCTGGGAAGAGGCTTGGAGAGCAACCGGGCATGGACCCGCCTTAACGCTCACAAAACTCCTCGAGCAGCGACTTTGGGGGAGCCTGGAGCTCCCAAACACGTTGTGTTTGCTTGGGGAAGGTCCGTGCTTGGTGCCTCTTTGAGAAAACTCCCCAGGAGTGTGTTGGCCTCCTTTGAGACAGCTGAAGTCCCCGGTAGCAGCCCCAGCCCCCTCCGGTGTAGCTGCATGAGGAGTTTTATCCATGTTTAGAGGCAGATCCTTCCCGTGAGCTCCCCCGTGCTGCGGGCGTCTCCACACTGATCCCGCTGGCAGCGGGACGAGGGTAGATCCCTACTGTGGGGGAAAAGGAGCGCAAAATCTGTCCCTTTGGAGGCCGTTGCTGGCCTGCACAGGCAGCTGCCTGCTCTCTGGCACGAGCACCCCAGGCCCTGGGCCCCTGCCCGTCACGTGGAAGCTTTTCACTTTATTTTTATGCTCCTTGGTCTGTCCTCAGAGGCAACCAAACTCGGGAGCAACACGCTGGAAGGTTTTGGTGGGGCTTTTTGTTGTTGTTGTTGTTGTTTTAAGGATTAATAATGCAATTTTTTCTTGCATAGATCATCGCAGCAGCAGCTAAATGTGAAATCAATTCCTGCACCACGCACTTGACAGGGCAATAACCCAAATGTTAATCTCAAGCACCCAACAAGGATTTGTGTCATTGTGCTGGGTATCTGCTGCTGGAGATGTATCGAGGAAAGAAGCTGCCTGGGGAGCTGCTTACTTTTGCCTTATTTCTCTCCCTTTTTGATTTTATTAATCAAGAGAACTAGTAGTTTTGAAGGCTCCTGGGCTGGTCTGGGAGGAGGAGGGTTGTTGCCGCAGCAGCTGGCTGTGGCGGAGCGTGGTGCTGGCCTGCCCTGGCATGGTTTGCCGGGCGATGCCACGGGTGTGAGGGATATTCTCTCTTGCCTCTTGGTTGTCACGGCCTGTCCATTGCTCAGTTCACCCCTTTACAGCCATAACCTGGTTATTTCTGCACCGTTTTTTCAGCTTGGCTTGCTTTGGGTCAGGCTCTTAAGCAGCCTCTGCTTGCCCATGCTGCTTTTAAAGCCCCCCCTGAGCCCTCCCTGCCTTCCCAGGGAGGAAAAACAGGCCCTGGGTGTTACAGAATCGCAGAATCATCGAGACTGGAAAGACCTTGAAGATGATCTAGTCCAACCGTTTGTTGCAGGGCAGACTGACAGACGGGAAGGGGAAGACCATTGACTGCAAAGATGCCATCTTCATCATGACCTCCAACGTGGGAAGCGATGAGATCGCCCAGCACGCCCTGCAGCTCCGGCAAGAGGCCGCGGAGATGAGCAAGAAAAGGATCGCAGAAAACTTAGGTACTGCTCTTTCAGCCTCATGCTTCAAATCCCTAAAGAACCCCCTTCTCCCTCTGCTTTGGGCTTGCTCTGTTCCAAAAATCCTCCTTATTGGAAATCACGTCTTTGGAAGAGGCTTTAGATCCCACCTCTCAGCCTTCCTCATCCTGTGCTTCCTCCCCTGGGTCTCCTCACCCTTTTCGTTCTCTCCAGACTCTCCCAAATGCTTCCTAGAAAAGACCAGGGTTGGTACAGGGGTTCATATTAAAGAGGAAAAGTTTTATTTCCTCACAGTCCCTCTGAAACAAACTGAGCTTAATCAGTACCCAGTGCTGAGGGATCTGGTGGAGTTGGGAAAGGTCAGGGTGAGGTTCATGGTTGGACTGGAGGAGCTTCGAGGGCTTTTCCAGCCGAGATGATTCTGGGATTCTGTGATTTTACTTCATCTTGGAATGGGAGCCCTGCACCCACACATCAGCATCCTGTAGAAAATTTTCCCAAAACGTGAATTAGGTAATAAAAGGAGAATTGAGTAGAGTAAGGGCGGCCTCTAAGATCCCAACTAAGCTCCAGCTGACAGCAGCAGAGCCCCAATTTATGTGCAACCTCCCCCCCAGCACCTTCTCCAGCCGGTTGGTGATAACTCCGGTGGCACTGGGAGGCCCCAGTGGCTGGTAGGTCCCACGGACAGACGGACGGACGGACAGTGGTGCCTGCACCAGTCCCCTCTAGCTCTAAAATAGGCGTCAGTTTGTGCTCACAGACACGGGCACGGGCAGCAGAGGGGAAAACCATCTCCATCACGTGCTGCTGCGCTGGCGGGGAACCGGGGAGTCACGTCTGGTGGCTGCGTCTCCCCCCTTCCACTCACCGGTTGTAAAAAAAGACCACGGCTACACCGTATTTCCTCAAGGTCCATCCCGTGAGCTCTGCTCACCGCTGGAAGGGCTGGAGACACTGTGGCTTGTGGCATGTGCTGCGGCCGTGCCCAGGAGACAACCGCAGCCACGGCTCCGTGGGAGCAGGAAAAAATGTTGCGTTTTGGCATCAGATATATTTTCCAGCTTCTTTCTCACTGTCTCTTCCTTTTTATTTTGAGAAGTGGATGCCAAAGCTGCCTTAATTCAGAATCTTTAAACTTCAATCAAACTAGGTAAAGGACAAAGCCTGCCTGCAACTGAACTTTCAAGAATAACATTTTAAAATGCCAAGCGCTTTTCTCCTAAATGAGGAAAGCATTGAATTTTAATTTCTAGACCTGCACAGCAGACAGCTGTAGTGAGTGAACGGCCGGAAAATGCATTTTGGCTCAGGAGCTCGCCCTCAATTGAGTTTCGTGGAGCTCCTCGCATTTTACTGACTCTTGGCGTGGAGCTACTGGGGAAGGCAGCGGCCCGGAGGTCAGCGCGGGTGCCTGGGCGGGCAGATAAATGGAAAGATAAAGGGAAGGAGCCGCTTCCGCCGCATCTCTGCGAGATAGTGCAGGTGGCAAAACCTGAATGCCGGGGGCAGCTCTGTCTCTGCCGCCTCCTCCAGCTCTCCTCTCCAGAGTGCGCTGCCAACCCCCTGGTGCTATCGAAACATTCTTGGGGGTCTTT